GGGGTCCTCTAGTGCAGCGCAGCACAGCCCCACCATCAGAAAAAAAAATAAAAAAATCCTGGCCCTGTTTTTGCGTCGCCCGGTTCACCCGGGCGGACCCCCCCGGGCCCAACCGGCCGGGGTCCGCCTGGCCGGGCGCCGGGGCAGCCTAGTGTATTTTATAATTTTTTCAGCTCCTTGGTTAACAGGGACTCCCACTTTCAGCACAAGTGGTTAACTGGGACCCCCACTTTTAGCTCCTTGGTTAACGAGTCCAAAACTAAAAATTTGGGCCTCCGGTAACCATTTGTCCCGCACAGATAGGTAACTCACACCACACAGCACAGATGTCTGGTTTTCTGGATTTCCTACGTGTTTTCCTCGGTTTTCAGCTACACTGAGCAGGAACGATATGTTGTTTGCCTTGCTCTCAAGACAACTAGACGAGAAATGGACTTCGAACTTCAAAGCACTCTGATCAAACCGCAAAACAAATCAAGTTATTACACCAGAGGGAGCAGAAGATAAGCAGTCAAAAAGGAAAACCACCCTTACCTTCATGTTTTGGTATTCAACTGGCATTGGAGTTAGGGCAATCTGTCCAAGCAGAACACACAACAGACATGCAGCTTCAGCATAGATAAACGACCTTTTCTCACTCTGGAGCCCCCCCCCCCACACACACACTATATGACAGAGTCTTTGAAGCACAAGGACAAAAGGGGAGTGGATACAGGATATGAGCAAAGACAATGACCCTTCCTCCCTGTGGAGCTCCCTGCCATTTGAGATCAAAAGGTGAAAAACAGAGAACTGAAAAGCAAATATCTAGAAAGGGTTCATTACTCATGTCAGCATTCTCACTTCTAATACCTCCAGCTGTTTTCACAAACAGCCTTCTTCAACTTACAGAACACTCCGCTACTGACCCTGAAGATCAATTGGCAAACAATACCACTGCATGCCCAGAACGCCTTGCTATACTTTGTGAATGGAGAGGTCTGGCATTTGCAATATTGATTTTGTTTGCTCTCGTCGCTGGACAGTAGCTTTTTTTTCGGCTTTCTTTCATTCAAGTCCGGCGCCTGACGTAGCAATTGGAGCGCGGCACAGGCTTCCAGGTAACATAGTTGCATTGCAATTCTAAGCAACATAGCATCTCCTGCTTTTTAGAAGCTTTTTGAACTCTTTCCATATTTTTTGGATTTGTGCACAACCTGGCAAACAGGTTGTCTTCCAGGCTGCAAGTAGAAGCGTCCACATCTTGATCAGGACAGGGGCCCCGCCAGACACCTAGCCTAATAACCCAGAGGCAAGACGAATACTTGCCCCACAGTCGTCCATTAGTCATGCTCTGCTCTTTCCAACAGAAGATGGGCTACGCAAGAGAATACGGTGAGTGTCTGTGAGATGGTGATCTCTACTGAATTTGCCAGCAATACAGTGAAGTTGAAGACGTGGAGAATTGCATTTTGAATTGCAATACTTCTGGACGCATAATCCAAGATATGTCCTAGGACTTAACGAAGGGAGGTGTCGAGTGCACAACATACAAGATGTGGGTCAAACAACTAGCGACGCCAGCAAAACCTGTCGCGTTCAAGCGGCAGTGGAGCACATCCACCTCAGGAAAATCAGGGTAGTGGAGGACAACGAATACAGAATTTCCAAGCCTGCGACACCGATTCAAAAGCTCGAATAATCGAATTTGACCCAGGGGAATGTGGGAGGAAGATCCCAACCAAGGCAGGCAGGATAGAGCCCGAGTCAGCACACTGGAGTACACGACAAGGTTGGGCTACAGACTTCGGTGCAGGACTGCAAACACACGGGGCGAGCTCGAATTTTACCCAGGGGAATGGGCGTGAAAGCTCCCGACCAAGGCGGGCAGGATAGAGCCCGAGTCAGCGTACTGGACTACACGACAAGGTTGGGCTACAGACTTAGGTGCAGGTCTGCAAACACACTGGACACATTGGCCGAGCGATGGGAGAGGAGTGTGCGCGAGTCCTTGGACCGGCTGGCTAGCATGCCCTGGAGCACGGTCTTGGCGATCAGTAACACCTGCACGACATCCCCCACTGCATGCTGCTCTACCCCAAGGCACAGCAATTGTGGGGCCACGCCAGAGAGCTATGGCGTGAGGTCACCAACACCTCGTAGTTGACAGAGGACACTCTGACCAAGCTCACAGCCTTCCTGCAACCAAGCCGACTGGACAAGTGGGCACAGAAATTCTTCAGAAGGCTCCAGCCATCTACACTTTGGATCATCTGGAAAAGAAGATGCAAGCAAAGCATCAACGCACAGAGGGTGTCACCCGAGAAGACCTGGGAGGACTTCAGGCTGGTACTGGAGACGGAGTACCAAGCGGACTGGCAAAAATTGCACAAGCAAATTAAGCAAGATCCGGAGAAGAAACAAGACATCGCCGATAAATTTCTGAAGGACTCCCTGGGAAATGAAAAGTTGGGAATGACAGAGGGGGAACCAGCTCAAGTGCATGTGGAGGCACGCAGCGAGGCGAGAGTACAAGCCAGCTAGACAGAGCCTGATCTGAGCCCCGTGGGGCGGTAGCTGAGAATGTCAGCATAGCATCGGACTGACAGCATCGGTCGACAAGGTCATAGGGGTCCATGAAATGCTATAGCGGCTACGATTGGGCTAGAAATTGAATACTCCCAGGGCAGCCAGGTAAGAGTCCAGATTCAGCCGTCTGGCTGCCGAACAGGGAAGCTGTCAATGATCTGGGCACTCCACCCCCGGGGTAACCCCCGGGGAGACAGCACTGTATGGGGGTAGAGCCAGCATCTGAGGACAGAAGGCTCACAGTATTTCGGCTAGGCTAACTAAGGCAGGGGTGAGGGGTGCGACATCCTTCCCACGGGAAGAAATCAAATCCATCCACTCGGGCCTCCCAACCATAATGGGGAGGAGCATTGTGTACTTTCACACTTGCCGGTGGAATAGGAACCGGACTGACGCTGACGAGTTTTGAAGCATAGTCATAGTTTGGAGAGGTATAATATAATCGAGGGTTTAGGGTTTTGCAGCCGGACGGCATGAAGAGGGAAGGGGAAACATGTCAATTGAGGGCTCTTTCTAGGTTCAGCGAGACAATCTGACAGACCGAGATACCAGGTCTGAGAGGAAAGAGAGGGGTTGGGCAAGCTGCCAGTCGATCCTCCGCTTGGTGGGAGTAATCAATGCTGCGCAGGGGTCCTTCGGCCGGACGGAAGGAAGAGTGAGTGGGTTTCATTATGTATTATTTATTCTGACTTGCC